TCTCATCCGAGTAGTTTCTTCGGGTGCTTTTTCAAGAGGCCACTGGACTTTTTGTTTTTTTCCTTGAAGACGTTTCGCCTCTCATCCGAGTAGTTTCTTCGGGTGCTTTTTCAAGAGGCCACTGGACTTTTTGTTTTTTTCCTTGAAGACGTTTCGCCTCTCATCCGAGTAGTTTCTTCGGGTGCTTTTTCAAGAGGCCACTGGATTTTCTGCTTTTTTTTTTTCTTGGAATACGTTTCGCTTCCCATCCAAGAAAGCTTCTTCAGCTCCGATGAAGCTTCTTGGCTGAGAAGCGAAACGTCTTCCAAGAAAAAAAAAGTCCAGTGACCTCTTGGGCGGGAGGGAGATGCACCTTTGGGATTTCGTTCCCAAGATACATCCAACTTTCCACCAAGGTGTTGGCAATCCGGCAAGAAGGAAGAAGACCCAGAGCTCCTTTGCAGAACTCAAGTCCTTGCTCGGGTGCATGGAAGAAGAGCGGCTTTCTTGCAAGAGACCCCCAAACCCCCATAACTTTAACCTTAGACTGTCTATTGTAGACCTCACCCCATTCCTAAGAGTCCCGTAAAGGGGATGTGCATAAGCGCACCAGCGTGCCTACCGTCCCTGTCCTACTGTCCCCATTTATTCGTACCCATTTACTGTGTCCATATTTATGTTTATACAGTACTTAGACTTGTTATGTTTTTTACATGTTTGACAAACTAAATAAATAAAATAATAATAAAATAAAATAAAAAGAGGAGGCTCAGTAGGAGGCAAAGCGGAGAAAGGGTGAAAGTTACTGCTCCGTCCCTAAATCCAAAGGTTATTCAGCCCCTCCCCTCCCCCCGGGCGGACAGACGTTCGCCTGGAAGTTTATGAATGGGGCTGCCTTGGCATCCTGCCCCAGCGCTTTCTCTCCTCCAGCCTTTCGTTAATGGGAGTTTAAACCCACGGCCGGGCCGTTCCCGCCTCTGAGCCCGCGGATTGGCTCCCTTTAGCCACCTGGCTCCTCCCCACTCGCGCTGACACCTCGCGGCTGGCTGGACAGCCGGCGCAAAGGCGAGGAGAGAAGCGGGAGACCGAGCTTTCTCCTCAAGCTCCGGCCACAACAGGGCGGGGAGGGGCGGGGCGGGGGTCGCAAAGGACTTCTTCCCGCCGGAGTCGGAGCCACCTTTCCCGGGAAACCGCCGGGCGGACGGAGCCCTCTCGCCCGCGATCCCCAGCCGTAAGTGAGCCCGGCGGCGTGGACAGATCGGGTTGGAATGGAGCGCTGTGACTGCGTGGCATTGTCCGTCTGCATCGGCTGCTTCTGCCGCCCGCCGGCGCCGGCGCTTGGGCGTCTTTTGCCGCCGGTGGCTTTGGGCGCCTTTGTGCCGGCGCCAGGGTGTATCTTCCGTGTTAAGAGTCCCGGGTGTTTTGCCTTGAGTCTGTCTGCCCGCAGTGGCTTCTGACGGGTGAGACAGCCCTACAGGGTTGGTCGTCCGCTTTTGGCTGTTAGGATGCTCCCCGTCCCAGCCAGGGCCGGTTGAGTAGGGGTGGCGGTAGACTTTCCCCTCCGCCCATCCTTAAAGCTAATCCTGGCGGGGACGGTCTTGGTTTTCCACACCGCTCCTCTTTCCATAGAATTCTTTTTCCATCTTTACTTGGGAGTTAGCCCGACTTCAAACGGAGGGACTTATGGTGGAGTCCAATGATTAGGGTGGTGGCGGCTTGTCCAGTTGTCCCTCTTGGTTTAGTGGCAATTCTGCTCTCTCTTGACGCCTTCCCTCCCTCCCTCCCTCCCTCCCTCCTGGCATTGCTTGCCCGCCCTGTGAGTTATCTACCCTGTGTGCATGGGAGGTGGTGGGCATATGCTGGCACCTGCATAAGTGAGCATTGGGTTGCCGCCGGGAGCATTGGATAATCCACTGCTGTTCTCTCTCTCTCTGTCTGTTTAAAAGGGTGCTCCCAGGAGTCCCTGCCCACATGGCCAATGCAGAGGTTATGGGGAGTATAGTGTGCCCTGTGTGCATGAATGAAAAGAGCAACAGATCCGGCTGAAATGTGTGTTTTGTGGCTTTTGAGTTGAAACCTGTACTGGATTCTACATCAGGCGATAATCCCTGAGCATCATCCCCTTCTTCCTGCTCATGCCTGGGCACATGTTGTTTCTTTGAATGGATCCGACCATCTGTGGGCTTTTGGGGAGACCAAACTCTGTACGATATGATAGGTTTCCCCTCCCACACCTTTATTTTTTGGCTTCTCTACACCTGGGAGGTGTGTGCAGGGAAGGCCAGATTCTTTGCCTTGAATTAATAGGTTAGTCAATATGCCGATGTCTATCTACCATTTATTTATTTATTTAATTGGAAAGACGCACCTGAGTAGAGAAATATGGGCTAGAACTTGGGCTTCGTTAGCTTCTGTGTCTGTGTGCAGGCATGCAGAGTGTGTCTGTGTGTGTGTTTCTGTACAGGTAAGCCTATGATTGTCCTAGCTCCTGCTTGTCTTTGGGTATGCGCATTATATAATTGTTTTGTAGGTTCTTTCAGTCATCACCGCTCTTATGAGTGTGCTGCTGCATAGCTGCCTTTCTACCCCAGTGGTCTATCTTTGTGCTGCCTATCCCATCCCAGCATCCTCTAATTCAACTGCAGCTCCCCCTCCCAGCTGGCTGGATATGATGGGTTTTGTAGTCCCATCACCCAGGTCCTGGGAAGGCAGTGTGCTGAGAAGAAATCCACTTGGGCTTTCGTCCCCCATGTGGGCGTAGTTGAAACCTTGGCAAAGAATCTACTACCTTTGCAGTTCTCCTGATTCATATGGAATGTTAATATTTTCTTAATTCTTCTTTCAAGGTTGCTGTGGAATCAAGATTGGGGTTTGTCACACTGAACATTTCTTTGGCTAAAAGAGATCTCCTTGTCTCAATGCACTGATCATGCTCTAAGGAAGACAATGGAGAAAGGACTGCTAATGCTAATCACTAGATTAATAATGTAGATTATGATCACGGACAGCTTCTCAATTGTGCTTGCGTTGTCATCATAATCATTATGACTTTCCTGATATGGTTTCCCCTCCCTTTTTTTGTTTTTTATTTTGTTTTCTGGGAGAAAATTGTGCTTAGTACTGTTCTGTTTAGCTTCTGTTCATCTAGTTTATCATGTTGCAGNAAAATGAATTATGTATATGTGAAAACGTTAAGGGGGAAATCCGGACAACACTTTGTTTATAAAAGAATTTTTAATTATGCAACAAAGAAATAAAAAAAAAACTTGGTTTGAAAGAGTTGTGTTTGTTTTCCGTACAGGCTGGCCAAAGACGAACTTCACAGGCAAGAGCTGCGTCAACGTGTGCGCATAGCCGACAACGAAGTCATGGATGCCTTCCGCAAGATCATGGCCGCCCGGCAGAAGAAGCGCACTCCAACCAAGAAGGAAAAAGACCAAGCTTGGAAGAGCCTCAAGGAGCGCGAGAGCATCCTTAAGCTGCTAGACAGTTAGTGCCACAAGACGCCCGGCCGAGCTTCTTCTCCGTTTGAACTCTAATAGAGGCACCGGCTGAAGGGGGGACGTCAGCCGCCGGTGTAGACTATAGCAGCCTCGCTTACTGGTTTGTCATCATTCCTCTGGCGCTATTTCAGCCGAGACTCTGGACAGGTTGGCTTCCCAGCAGTGTGCCTTCTCTTTTTGGGTGTGGCTTTGAGCCCCCGTGGTGGGCTGTGAAACGAGCATCCGGATTGCTTAAAACGGCAGTCCCTCTTTTGATATCTGCAGGGGCAAGTTATGCTGCAGTGTGAAGGGCGAGACGGAACAAAATCTTTATTAGCCGTATGTACCAAATATCAGGTTTTCGGGATCTGTCAGCAGCATAAACTGGAACCGATAGTTCTTGAAGTTAGATTACTATTTTCCCCTTCCTACTGCCGCTCTTCCTTTATTGGTGTTAAGGAAAACAGCACCTTGAAAGCTATAGGCACAACGTAAGGTCAAGTGTGGGAGCATCTTTTCTTGAAGGGCCTGTCTTTTCTTGCGTTGGGGAACGATTTATTGACTCTGTGGCTGCACCAGACGTATCTCATCAGCAGCTAGGACTGAGCTAAGACTAAACAGCCGGGGAAGATCTGAGGCGTGGGTAGAATTGCTGTTCTGTGGGTGGTTTAAGTAGATGCCTGTCGTATTTGTAGAGGGGAACGGTGTGCCGCCTCCTGCAATTTCACCGTTCAAACATAGTTACAATCCAAACCTTGTCAAGGATGAGGTCTTGTACTACCATACTTGGCTGGATATACTTTTGCAAGGCAGCTATGAAGTCTTTTCCTTCCTATTTTGCTCATTGTCTTCCTGGGGTGGCACTGAGAGTTGCGCATTCTCCCTTCCAGCCGCCTAGAAAGGAACGAGTTGTCCTCCATGGAAACAATCGAGAGAAAATGCCAGTGGGTTCTGGAGCAAAGGGCTGAGCAATTAGAAGATTCGAACAGTCCAAGAGGGAGAAAGGATTTAGTATTTCAGTGGAATGGACTGAGTGACCCAGTGTCACCCCCATAACAATTCCAGAAACACACAATTCAGTATCAAAATCACAGAAAGCTAGCAGTGCATTGAGGAAACACAAGGTGGTAGGGGGAAGGAGAGATTCCTTCCTCCTCCCCCCACACCCCCAATCTATATTTTAACCCAGCCTCACTCAAAAACTCCGAGAAAGTGAGAAAATAAGCTGGGAAGAAGCTTTAACCAAAAGAGATATGGAGGAATAGCTCTTCCATGGGTCATTCACAAGGCAGGGCAATGAATCACTGTGCCTCCCATAGTTCTTTCATGCAAGCTGCGTATGGGTTGAATCATTTGAGGGGTGCTTCTTTCCACCGGCCATTTAGCAGGCAAACTGGCTGATCGGTGATGAAAGAGCAGACGGGCGGGGCAAGGCCATCTGCGCCCCTTCCCCACTTGGGTACAGATCAATCATCCCCCCCAGAGGCCTGCTTGTCTTCATCAAAAAGCAATGTGCATTTCAGAGTGCTGGCCTATCCATCTCTTCCTTGATTAATTTCACCTTCTGGCCTCAGGCTCCTTTTGTATCCTCCACCACCGTTCCAGGATGACTGTGGTTCGCTCTCCTCACTGAAATGGATCATAATACAGTGCTGCATGGAGTGGGAGTGGAGGCAATGAATTAATTCTGTGTTGATAACCAGTTGGAGAAGAGGCCCCAGCACACGTTCGCATTTGCCTTGGATTATATCTGCCCGCCGTATGGACAGACTTCTTCCATCACTAACCGTCTTCAAAGATTGACTGATCACTCCCAGTTTTCTTATAAGCATACAGTGTCCTTTTTTAACCTCCTTCCCCAGTTTTGGACTTCCTTTTGCTTCCCCATTTACCAGCAAGTTTCAACATTCGGTCCGTTGTGCGAAGACTTTTCAAACTTCGTTGCTTTGGGGGGGAAAAAAGTAAATGGCTTTTAGGGTAAGAGACGGAAAATAAAAATATGTCTGTGATGAAAGGATGCTAGGTACAAGAGCTGGCATTTGGAGAAAAGATCAGAATGATCCCCAAAGAATTAATAAATCCAGAAGCCAACTGGTGGCTGTGGCGTGTCTGATTTTTTTCCCTCCCCAATTCTTTGAGGAGGGGCCGAGAGTTTGCGGGGCAGGNGGTTTCAAAAAATTTTGGAACCTCTTCTGTAGGTGTGGCCTGCTTTCCGGGTCCACTGGTGGAACCTCTTCTAACCGGTTTGGTAGATTTGACGAGCCGGTTCTACTGAATAGGTGTGAACTGGTAGGAACCCACCTCTGTTCTGCTTGCAATTGATGTACCTCCTTTCCACCTTCTAACGATCCAGGGAGGGATGTCATCCGTATTGTAGCCATAAATTAAAAATTGTCCCAGATTTAATTGCCTGCGCTGTCTTTTTCTTTCCTTCTCTCTCCTCCTTGTAATAGGAGCTCCAATACAGGTAGAAGGTGAGCAAAAATGGATGAAGGCAAAAAGGAAAACACCATTCTACTTTCCCAGTTTTTATTTCAAAGTAAACAAAGGTTTTCTGGTTGCCTTCTAAAGCAATCCTAAAATATAGTCAAGGCCTGCTCATTTCTGCTAGAATTTGAGGACTTTGGAATTAAAGCCCACTCTGTTTTTTATACCTTCCTGCCAACTTTTCATGATTTCTTTCGTGCAGATCTATCCCTCCCTTTATCCTTTGGAAATACTTGGCCAGTCTAGTTTCAAGTTTCAAGTTCAGGTTTATTAGAATTTGTATGCCGCCCACTCCCAGGGGACTCTGGGCGGCTCACAACAGACAAGAAACATTTGAATTTAAAAATAGAATAAGAAAATAAAAAAAATACAGTATTAAAATTCACATCACCCATTCCATCTGAACAGGGCTGGATATCAATCAACAGCCCCAGGCCTGCCGGAACAGCCAGGTCTTAACAGCTTTACGGAAGCCCGGGAGAGTAGTAAGGGTCCGGATCTCTGCGGGTAGATCGTTCCACAGGGCCGGTGCAGCAACAGAGAAGGCCGGCATTGTCCGGTTGATGGCACCCGGAGGAGGCCCAACCTGTGCGATCTTTTTGGTCGTTGGGAGGTAAGTGGCAGGAGGCGGTCTCTCAGCCCTTTTCCTGTTGCACAGACTTCAGAATTCCTTGACTGTACAAAACTCAGTTCCAAGAATTGGCCTGGTCCTCTCGTCATCCTAGTAATGCTTCCACACTAGAGATTGACAATGCAGAGTAGACAGGTTTCTTCTTCTTTCTCCAAAACTTGGGGAATAATAGAAAGCCTCCCCTGGGATGGAGACGGCTTGTGGTGGCTCCTGCCTCAGTTGCGTCAGTTAACCCCTTTTTCAAGAGTTCATTCTAGAGAGTCCTCCTCTCACGTGGTTGTGGGGATTTTATTATTTTGGAGACGAGAGAGACGGATTGCAAGTCCTATTCCATAAGAGCTTCTTGTGCTAAACGCAACTCAACGGAGAGCTTTTTGTTTAGAGTAGCACATGGATGCTAACAGCTTGGAGTCTTTACNGGATCTCCAACAGGGGTGACAGTTTTTGCACAGTTTTTGCACTCTGGAAACCTCCCCCAAATGGCCCATTTTTTATGAAAACGGCCCCATTTTTTTAAAAAAGGCATGAATATTCTTGGGAGGGGGGTTGCAGAGTGCTCCTGGGGGGGGGCAAAAATGGGCAAAAAATGGCCCGTTTTTGTGTGAAAACGGCCCCATTTTTTTCTCAAAAAAATTGCATGCATAGCCTTATGGAGGCTTATAGAGTGCTGCTCGGGGTTGGCGGGGGCAAAAAATGGCCCATTTTTTGCTAATTTCTGCCCTCCTCAGCCCCCAGGAACTTTCTGAAAGCTTCCATAAGGGTATGGACGGCCATTTTGGTGAAGGGGCGGGGCTTCGGGAGGCAAAAAATGCTGTATTCGATGTATAAGACGCACCCAGATTTTCAGCCTCTTTTTTGAGGGAAAAAGGTGCGTCTTCTACTCCGAAAAATACGGTACATAATTTTTCCACAGCAGTGAAATATTTCTCTATATGCAAGAGTTAGCTCAGCTGGAATTAACGTTATGTAGTGACGCTTAGTTTTCTGTTACACTTTGGTTAGCTTTTAGCTTTCTTTTCTGTGTGAAGTTTTTTCATATGTATGTAACTTTGAAAATGAGTTTGAATGGTCCCTTTAAAAAAAATGAAGAAAATAAATGAAAACAAATTTTGCAAGTTCTAGGAAGTCAGACCAACTTCAATGTCAGTTGGTGGGCTTACAAGTTGGGGAGGAGGTGGAGAGAATTTGAAATTTGAATTTCCTCTCTTCAATTGGAGAGGCTGAGAGAGGGAGAGGGCCATATCACTATTACCACTGAGCAGCCAGAGAAGCCTCCAGATGCTCTTCGCTTCCCACCACATCTGTTTTGTGTCGGATCACAAAAAAACAGAAGCAACTTTTCAAAGGGCGGCATCTGAGAATGGCAGAGCTACCTCAACAGTCATGATGATGTTCAACCTTTGCTGTCTGCATTTGTGGTCTCCCACAGAGTTCAGGAAGTGAGGACTTCGTAAGCTTTCTGGTGTGAAAGACCTGCAATGTTATGTTTGAAGTTACTTCTTGGGAACAAAAATACCAGCCAGAACTTACCCACAACATTCATTTACACCAGTCGGTGAGAACATTTAATAAAATGATTTCACATTTAAAAAAAAAAGAAGAAATAGAAGTATGAGTTAAGCAACCATTCCAGTTGGTTATCCAACCATAGTTTAAAATGCAGACTTACTGTGATAGTGAAAAGAATCATTAGTTTTCTATGGATGGCTTTGTTATTAGTTTATTTTGCCAGGAAGTACCCCTCCCCCCTCTGCGTTTTTCTTTCTTGAAATGGAAGCAAAAATGGAAGGCCATGTCAAATTACCCAGGTAGTTAATGGCATGATCTCCACTATTGAACAGCTGAGGATGATGGGAGACATGATCCAATATACCTGCCAGATTGAGGAAGGCTGACCTGGGTCTGGATTTAATCTCAAAGTCTACCCATGTGTGGTACTAGATTAAGGTGACCAAGCTTGTCTGTGCTGGTTTGCTGCCAAGGACCTGTCTGTCTGTTAATTAAAT